CTCTCTCTCTCTCTCTCTCTCTCTCTCGCACACAAAACACACATTAGTTTTATTGACTGCTTATATAAATAAATGAAAAATGTAAAACATACGAAATGTAATGTCAAACAAAATGTTGCGTTGATTACTACCGTATTCTTCCTCTTTAGGCCCAATGGGGTGTTATGTGACATAACTTATGTCACTTTTTTAGAGAGGGTTGGGTACTATCCGGGTCACACCCCATACTATTTTGACTCTAATAATAATACCTAAATTAATACCACAAACGACTAAATATGTTTTGAATAGAAATAATTCTCTTTTCATTCAAATGTATAATTAGTGATTGAATTGATAAATAAATATATTCATTGCTATTAATGTTGGATATCAAGCCATAGGATGTTGTGTGAGTTTCTTAGAGGGGATGATCTACTACCCGGGTAACAACCCATACAGTATGGGCCATACTATTTTAAAGTGAACCCGAGTCAGCGGCCCTCACAATACCCAATGGGGCACCAAAGAGGTTGAATACGGTATTTAAATAAATTTATTTTTCAAAACAAATATTAATAATGACTTTGTTTTCCAATTAATTAAATCTTTATTTTATTCAATGATAAGTTTATTTACATTTTATGATAAGCTATTCATCAAAGTTATTACAATAAATGCATTTTTAATTAAATTAATGTTAATAATTATATATAGAATACGTGTAATATTCATGTCAGACATTATTCTGTTTAATAACTTATTAAAAATTGCAGTTTTATATTAAATACTAAATAGTATTGCATTCTCGGGTCTAATATATTAATATTATATACCATTAATTGAAATACAATTGAATGACTAGACATTAAATTTGAATATAAAATACAATATATTTAGTGTAAAACTAAAAGAATTTGGTATAAAAAAGTTATGCCAAGATTTGAGTTATTACAGAGTTATTGAGAGATTTGTGTATAAAGTGTTGAGTTGTAAGAAAGTAAAACAATTTTGATATAAAAGTCACTGATTTTGTTAACTTGTTTTTCCGTCAAAAATTAGTGTAGAAATAGATATAAAAAAGTGCTTAAAAACTAATTGTTGTCCGTTTGGCACAAAAAATAATCGATAAAAAATATGAGATAATATATGAAATATACTGTAAGGCACACAAAACATATATGTTAATCAAAAACTAAGTTTTTATGGCATATGTTATATGTATTTATAAATATAAATAAAGAATTATTGTTTCTAATTGTCAGTTCAAAAGTTGGTCTCACATCGAAATACTTGTTAATTAATGATTAGTTGATTTTAACTGAATTTTTGTCAGTTACTCCTAAATATTATTTCATTCATTAATATATATATAATTACAGGTAAAAAGATATCAATATTTCCTAATAATTGTTTGATTATGTCATAAATTGTTAGTAAAATATTTTGACTCAAAATCTATAATTCTGTAAAAAAGATTTTACAATAAATAACATTGAAAATCACGTTTTGTTTCTCCGGTTAGAAAATAGTTAATTATATTTTTTGTTTATAAATACAATTCATTTAGTTTACGGGCAATATATTAATCATTTTGCAACTTTCCGATCACGTGTTTGACCCAACCCTTGGAGTTGGGTTTTGGCGAACCTTTTGGCGACTCATCTGAAGACTCGTCGTTTTCATCCATATTCTCCTTATTGTTACTCCACTTCTCCTTATTGTTCTCCAACTCTTCCACTCTTTCTTTAATACTTTTGATGCCATCGAAGTCACAGACGTTATTGTCTTTATGGAAACGAGAATTTTGTTCGAGAATTTTAAGTTTTTCAATGATAGCGCCCTTCACTCGCTTAGCACTCAATATGTTTAAGTTGAGACCATTCGACAACTCCTCTATCGATTTGTAAATACTTTGTTTTTTATCGTCATTTAAATTCGTTATTAAATTCAAGTGAGTATAACATGCGTTGTCCTCACTATCGTCGGCAAACTGATCGATAGTATTGAGTCCTGAGATGTCTGTGTCGTCGTTATCCCTACTTTGACTGTAAAAACCTGACTCTCCAAACATCTCTTCAGTCAATACACTTTCAATCGCTTCAAACGTTTGCTCATAAAAGCTATCGAGTGATGAATCGCTGGCATCGGAGGGTAAGTCATCTAAAGTGTCCGCATTTCCATCTAATGTATCGTTTTTATCATTACTTTCACTGGAATTTGATATATCGGACACTAAACTGTCGGGCCGTCGAAAAGAGTAGTGTTTTTGAAGACCACATCTATGTTTGGGCACATTTTCATCGCAATCAAAGTGGTTATAGGCGGCCAACCGCGCGGCCGCAGCCGAACTCGTTTTGGGCACTGATATGCGGGCGAACACAGGACTAGGAATTTCTGAAAGCGCTTTACTCGCAGTCATTTCGGTTTCAATTTTCGATGAATTCTTGAGTTTATTTTTAATTATATTTGAATAAACTTTGGCTAAAGTGTGAACAAAACGAGCGGTTATTAGTTTGGGACTCATTTCGTATTTCGACGATTCATTCGCTTTGTTGTTGTTTTGGCACCGATTCGGTTGCACTGCCGGCGACTCACACCTGTCGACGCTCTCACCAGAGATAATGGAAGCGCTGTCTCCGCACAACTGATCGGAAACAGTCGGCGATCGACGAAGAGATACTAATTTGGAGCTCACGTTAAATATAACGGATTTGATATATTTAGAAGCGCTGTGTTTATAGATCTTGTGCTCCGGGTGTAGGACTGACTGATCCGACATATTCTCCAAACTAATTGATGACGAATTGTCGGAACACTTCATATCGTCGTGACTGTCACTGGATTTAAAGCATTTATTGCCATCGATGTCGATATATGTCTCAATACCGGTGTCGATGTACTCGCCATTCAGTGGATGACCATCGGCTGCGATAGTGAAAGGTCTCTGTTCTCCATGCGTTCCCATCCGTAATCGATTGGTTGGTGTCGTTTGACAGTTGTCTTCGTTTGTCGGCGCAAACGAAGTCGTCTCAAAACTTCTGGGAAGTGAACCGCCCTTTTTGCAGGCGTCGGCAAAATGCTGTTCCTGTCTCTTGAGCCAAATGGCGGGCGCTGTGGGACTCATCTCATCTAAACTATTACACGACGGCAATCGTATGGATGAAGAGTTGCAAAGATTTAAAGTGTTTGGTCGTTGAACTAATCGTCTATTGGGTGGCGTCGGCGGCAAATCGGGAGCCAACGAGTGTCGCAATGAGAGGGTGTGCTGTAACATAGCTTTACTCCGAGTCATACCAGTGAATGATTGGACGCGCCGTACGATAGGACTCGAAAGGTGTGAATAACTGATGAGTGCATTGACCGGAAGGACTACATATTTGGAGTCTTCCGATTGTGACGATGAGGCCATCGATAGGTCACTCGAACCCGAAGACAATGGAGTACTCGTTCGGTTGTATAGAGTACTGGAACTGTTAGACATTTGAACACTAGAGTCTTCGCTCGAATCCAATCGATTGTTGGGTGATATATAGAAAGTCACGTATTCGGCTTCGTTTTCGTTGTGCATGTCATTCATCTCCCGGTGCCCTACCGTTACTGTACGCGGCGGTGGCCTTAACTCCAGTATGTTATGCAAGTCATGGATTTGATTCAGAGATTCATTGTCTGTTTTCTCTTCCGTTAGTTCTTGTGTTGAGCGTTCGCTTCGATCAACAAGTTTTGGCTGATTGTGAGCTCCTGTACCAACACCTGTCATACCTGTCACTGGTTTGGAAGGACTACTGCTTTCCAACTTCTCAACTAAGATATCGGTTTGAGAGGCGTTCAAATCGATAGGTCCGAGACTAGAGCGCCGTTCGCTTTGTTCGCCGTCATTGCAATGTGTGTGAGTGCGGGCGCTCTCATCGTAACTGGAACTCCGGGAACGACGCCAACCGTTATGGCCGTCCATATAATGAATCTTTTTCAGCGATTTTCTCAGTTTGAATCCTTTGCTCAGATTGTGGTTAACAGTGGCCTCCGATTTGCGTCGGTTCTCCTGTTTCCGGCGCTCCAGATATTCGGGAGCACTGAGTGTCCGCTTACTGTTGGTGTGTGTCTTGTGGCTGTCAGTGTGTCCACCATTGGCTGTCTGTCCCAATTGCATGACAATCTGTTTGGCGTGAGAGGGGATCACAACGTCATAGTTCTCCAGAATAACTCTCTTCAAGAGTAGACACCATTCCCTCTTGTGTTCCAGATTTCGGGCTTGAAATGTGTACTGAGCTCTGGGCTGATCGAAGGGAATGGCATGAAAGCAAAGTGGTTGGCCCTGAATGCTCTCGATTAGCATTAAGTTTGAACACTAAAAACACGGAGAAATGGAGAAATTTAAATAATATATTCATTATAAATATAATATAATCTCATTTTATTTTCTTATCATTTTTCAAACAACAGACTATTTTCAACCAAATCTCTAGTCTAATAGTTATTCAAAAATAATAAAATTAGTCATAAAATTTATATTTGTTTTCAAACGCCTCTTAAGATATATTTTTGTTGTCATATGAGTTACATATACTGTATATCGAGTATTAAATTAAATAAATGGTCACAAAATGTGAATATATTTGAGGACACGGGGAGTAATGGATGGCAAAGGGGGTGCGAAACGGCGATCCGTTAGATAATCTGTTTTAATATATGAGTATAACTTATCATAGATTCAAATCTTTGTTCTGGTCTTAAGCCTATCTGACCTCTATTTTAGGCACAACTTCTCACTCTTTATAATGTAAACGTTGAGAGCAATTATGACCAGAAATCAGAGATTGTATTCATGTTTACGGCCCTATTGTCTCTATATATCTGTTAAACAGTTCCTAAATCTAGTTGTTTATCAGTTAATTAAAAAACAAATTATAATCAAAACAAAAAATATATAATAATTATATAACTGGACAACAAATGAGGATAAAAATGCAATATTGAATAAACAAAAAAACTAAAATGGATTTAAATAATAAGTACACAACAATCAAAACATAGTATGTGTTTAATAAATCCGTATAAATAAATATATAGTTCTGTATATATTATAGTATGAGAGAGAATGTGTTAAAGTGGGGGAGGGCACCGAGGGGTGGGGGTGGCAATGAAAATATTTATGGTTAAATATTTGATGCATTAATAGTACGAATGACCGCTTTTTCATTTAATTCATTACTTATTGAGAAAATCTGTGGGATTAGAGAGGAATGGGTTAAAGATAATGGTCGGTACGGTTGCCGCCAACTCTACAGTATATACACAATGAATTTGTCTGTAAATGTATTTCTAATAACAATTTTCCTCAATTCGTATAAAATTTCTATTCATTAGATTTATTGAAAATTACGGGAAATTCCGATTTTTAACAACGAATAGTATTAACAATAATTTTTGGGAAAAATTTAATAAATCAATAATATATTGCTTTTACGAAAGTGTCAAATAAGATATAATAATAAAACTTTTCATTAATTCGTTGCTTAAATCGGGACAATCAAGTCTTGGGGCTCTTATACAGCAGGTGTACAACAACTACACCACAAAAAACCAGTGCGTGTGTGCTCTCAGTGCTCATCACAGATGAACTCATTTACAGCCAATTAGGGCACAAAAAATCAAATATAAATTGTTATTATTTGAAATTTTCAACAATTTTTCCATAAAATGCTTGGATTCACAGCTTTTTTGTTCGCAAACTCTCTCTCTCTCTCTCTCTCTCTCCGTCCCTCCTTTGATGACTGAGCGGTGTTTCAAAATATAACAAATATATCAAATTATTTGCGCAAATATGCAATTAATACAAATGACAGATGTATGATGGTCAATAAGTCACCTTTTTGACCATAATGTTGCCACATATGTCCGTAACACTAATTAATCCGTAAGCATATGATCGCAGCAATCAATAATCGATATACAAAATGGGCGTTAAATAGATTGCAATTTCATATTAAATATATAATCCAATCATTACTGAAATATCTAATTATTCATTAAATTAAATACAAAGTATTACACAACGAATTAATTTCCATTCAATTTTGTGCCAATTTTTTCTCTCAATTCACGAGAAATATATTTATTAAAGAGCCGTTTGATTATCAATAAACTTGACATTAATCAAGTGGGCGTCCGTTCAAGCGGTGTGTGAGTTGTCCCCCATTTACCACCGCTTATAGCCCTCCCCCACAACCTGTACCGACGGCCCCGTAATTGAATCGAGTGCTCAAATGTCCGGTTTCGCAATGAATAGACATTTGTTATGTTGTGGCAAATAATTGGCATTAATTTAAGATTGCATGCAATTTATCACAATAAATGTTTAATTGAATGAATGTAAAAAAACTTGAATACCTATATTTATATTTATATCAAATGCTGAATAATGTCAACATTTAAGTAAATAATGTTTTCTAAAATAATAATTAAAATAATAAAGAAAAATATGATAATTAGATCCAAAAGTGTGTTATAACTGTAATAATAAAAATTCATAACAAATCATACGAAGCGTACGAATGAAAAAACGCGCCGAAAGAGTAGCAGAAAAGCGGTTTACGTATAGAAACTATAGGAATGTTAATGAGTGGCAGGAATGGCATCGAAATTAATTTTATTGAAATTGAACTCAATTTACGTTCAGAATTGGGAACACTTTTAAGACAAATATATCTTTTTGAGTGGTTTATAGCAAAATAGAGTCAAAAGAGTAAAAACATATAATTATTATTAGTTTTGAGGGAAAGAAGACTTACGAGAATATGAGTCTTGAAGCTGAGAGAGCCGTCGTCTTTCTTTTTGGTCATTAATAACATTCTGTCGAAAAGGAATAAATGCCGAAAGCCTTTGGCACCGAACATACGAAACGATCCCTCGCACTGTAGGTCGCCGTAAGTGGTCAGGTCCTGGCCCTACAAACACACATTCAATACAACACACAATTAACACCATTACCACAATTTAGACACTAATTGTTATCTTACGGGCCAATTGTAGAGCAAACTCTGGATCTCCTGAACCCTGACTGCGTGTTCGTGTTTCCGCTTCATATCGTTTATATGGATCGCAATGTTTGTCATCACAGATAACGCGTTCCTTACATCGATGTAATCGTTGGTCTCTTTGTCCGTGTATTTCACGATATTCTGGTATAAAATGCAAAACATGTGTCAAATGATGTATTGCGTGAATGAGTGGTCATGTGGTCATACCTGTAGCAGTAGATGATATTTCAATATTCTCTGGACGGGCTTTAATAGGTATGAACCCAAAGGAAGACTATGTTTTAAGGAGAGCTGCCTTTCCCTAAATATCTCAGCCCTATCTGTGTTTCGCATCATTTCTGTTAATAAGGACACAGTTCTGAAGCGAAAAAAGCAAAAAGAGTTCAATTATTATGTTTTGCAAAATCAGTTAAGAAATTTAGATTAAAAGTAAAATAAAGTAATCATAATTGAGACAAACCGGGGATAGTTTGTACAATAGTGTGTGTATATATCAAAACCCAAACTCTTGGTGATAAAACAGTTGGCGATTGACACTGGGTTTAGACCACATTCTTCTAATTGACTTAAAAAATCCGAATTAAATAAATAGATGTCTTCTATATTACTAAATAGATTTAGTATCTCTTCGGCGGTGATCTTCGACTCATCGAATGTCTTCATGTGTTGCAAATAACCCTAATTTTAAAGATAATTATTTTATTTCAGATCTTATAAGTTTTTACTTCAAATTAATTTTCTTAAAATCTTGTATTAAATCTATTTAAAAAATACTAAAATAAAAAGTTAATCAAAAATGTTGGCATAAATACCATAAAATGCAAAAACTGTTTCACAAAATTTATTATATAATAAAATCAAAGAAAATATGCTATGAATAGATTTAGCATTAATTATAGTCAATATAAACTATAGTCTTTAGGCACCAAAAACATAACTTATACTAAAAAGCGCTTTATTTCCTTTCAATCCCTTCCTTATGGCTAAGTGTTAATGAATTCAATTGTATTGTATTTCCTATTAATTAGAAATTATGACAATAACTTAATTGCATTTGAAATTCAGTTTCCCTTCCGGAGAATCTCAACCAATAAATTATATAACATTTTGTTTTAATAATTAAATTTATTATTACTTTCAGTAATTGCATATTTAAACTCGATATTAAAAGCTCTTAACGAGTAAATTAATAAAGTTTGAAATCCAATAAATTATTAATAATTATGTTAAATAAAATTTCAAATATTAAATTTGTAACATTAAATTTATAATTATAATACTGTATTAATAATAAAAAAGTTTGAATATTGATAATTATGTAAAAATTATGTGCAAAATTGTAAGCATTTGTTTGACTCGATCTTCCACTGGAACATAGATTAGGGTATAAATAGACCAAAACTTTAAATCTAAAGCTTATTATAGAAATAGTGGAGAAATGTATTTATATTATTAGGTATTAAGAGAAATATTAAATATATAAATAAATGGTATATTTTTCTAATTTAGTGCTTAAATGTAATCAATTAAAGCGATTCGTGGGTTATATAAAATGATAAATCTAAGAGTTTATACCAATTTCAATAATTATTTGTAAAAATTACGATTACTATTGAAACAATTCCTTAAACTACTCGTCCATTTAGTTCAACACATGAAAGGATAGTGTATTTAATTATTTTAATCTCAAATCAAAACTAGAAACACATGAATTTTCCATTAATAATAGTTTTTCATAATAGGTCTCAAAAATAATAATCTCGTTATTTCTACAAAAATGTGTTTCCAAATAAAATGCCGTATATTTTATTAACAAAATTGTTTTCTTAAGAAATAGTAAATTATATTTTGAAATTAGTCCACTATTTGACAAAAATATTTTTATTGAAACATAAAATGCAAACATTTGAAAGAAGGAAGAAATTGAATGAAGGAATCATTTGAAGCAAAAATGTAAAACTTATTTCATTATTGGAAAAAAATTATAAATAGTATTCAAATGCAAGTAAAGGTCATATAAAATACAACCTATGCTTTCATTGGCTATAAATCTAATACTTTTTCATGTTTGGGATCATTAAGTGTTTGATTATAACTTCTGGTTATTATACACAGTATTTGTAATATAAGTCTTGCAGTGAGAGAACACGTCTCCCAATCAAATAAAATATCTAAAAAAATTAAGATATAATTTAAAGGCATTTTATTTTTCGCATAATTTATTGATACCATTAAAGACTGAAAAATACAGCCAAAGAATGGCTCAAAAAAGAAATTTGATTCCAACCTCCACTCAAATCCTATTGATAGACATGTGCTAAGCACTGGTGCATCTCATGGACAACAACTCATCCCAATACCTCACCCTTTAAACAGCCCATTAGTTGCCACTAATAGCCACAGCCTCTCTCTCTCTCCCTTTTGTTTATAAATGATAAATAAGGAGTCCTTCCGTTCAATAACAAGTCCACACATTGTTTGCGAGACAAGAGTCCACCGCTCACTCTATGCCTACACACTCTCACCCCTAAAACCCTTATGTATTTAATTACTTAAAATAAATGTTCAACACTCAAGAGGACAGTCACACACCAGACGTTTGTCGTCTCCAACTCTATGTCTGGCCCCTAACCGATGGCACGAGTCATACAAAACCGAAACAAATTCACTCCGTTTAAGGAATAGTTTAAAACTAAATCATTTCATACATTAAATACATTTTTAATTAATAAAATTAGTGAAACTATCAATCAGTTAACCGTTTAGATACAAGTTTGTGCTATTAAATAGTACTGTATATCCATTGACAGTAATTTGGGATACGGTATATCTAAACATTGCAATTAATTACATAAAATATTTTGAGTAAATTATAATGAATGAGTCGCTAAAATAAGTAACTTATAAATATTATATCAATTAAATGCCTAATTATATTTTAATTATTCATTTCATTGGCGACATTATTCCGTAAAATTATTGGTAAAATTAATTTTATATACAAAACCTTCAAATGACCTAAACTTGAATTCACGTGAATAATAAGGAAATACAAGAATAATAAAAATAAATCACAAAACGATTTCAATTATAGAGATTATTTAATATTAGACTTAAAAATGGCAAACAATATCTATAGAAAGCCTTAACTCTATTGTATAAAAAAAAAGTATGCATTTGTTTGGAAGAAATAAAAATAGTTTTTGTTCCTCAACTCAAAGGAGGATAAAAAAATAATTGTCGGCGAAAGGCATAGACTTCTATTCAATTTGTCTGTTTATTTAAATCATATGTTAAATCCTATCATTTATTAGTCTGATTAAGTTAATTGTGTGTAGATTTTTATATCCATACAAATCCTTAATACAATACTTTACTGTAGTCTACATTCCATTGAAATCGTATATCAAATAAATTCATTTACATTCACATCATTTCAACGATATTTTTATATGAAATAGTAATTTGCATATAAATTATAATTTTGTCTCAATTCAAAATTATTTTCAAAAAACTATTTATAAAAAACTCTCGCATAAAAAATGTTTAATTTAATGATTGGATTAGACTTCAAGACATATCTCAAACAAGAGTTTTTAAGTACAAGAGTTAATGTAATGTTTATGTAAATAAAGTTTCTTACAATACAATTAGCAAAGTATTTGATTAATGCATCAATTTTTTCGAAAGTTTTATTTAACATTAAATACTATAAGAGTATATAAAACAAGTTGTGAAATGAACCTCAATTTATGTGTTACAACGCAAGTGTGTGTATATATTGGGCCAAACGGTATATAAATTACCACTAATATCGTGGTCACTTATTATACTGTATACGATATAATACGGTAATAGTGTATTGAATACCTTTTCAGACTATGTATTTAAAATATACGGTACTTTTTTCTACATGTGAGTCAACTCTTTTCTAGTTTAGTTAATATGGGTTTAAATATAAATAGAAAATATTTTTAAAAATATATTTATACCACAAACGAATCGTTTGTGATGTGAAAAATACAGATGATATGAACCATAATTATCTCTCATTCTCACATTGTATTGATTTGAATCAAAGTATAGGTCACTACTATTGGAGTGCTATTCATATACACAAATATTTCCACAATAATTTGTGGAAAACTTTGATCAACGAATCCCTCAACTACTGTATGAAAGGAAACATTTCTTTGAAATTAGAGTTAATCTGAATATTTAGTGGAAGACTTGATTCAAACAAACAGTCCATTGGTTTAGAGTTATGTTGAATTGAATGGGTTTGTGAGGAGAGTGTTGATCACATCTGTTCATCAAAAAGCTGTTCATCTGTTCAGTGATATCTTCTTTCGTGCATAACTACACACTTCATAATAAATGCATTCAATTTATGGCTATATTCATGACATTGAGTTAGAGTTCAGGAAAATACCTGAACGTTGAGAGGGAAGAAGGGCTAAGAGGCAGAGGATCTATCAAACACCTGACAAATGATATTAGTGTTGAGACTCGACTTCATAATCAAACCGATTGTCAAAAGCAGAGTTCAAATGTGCCGGCAATCAGGCAATAGGGAAGTGATCACTGTATTAGTGCCCAACCAATCATATATTCACAAAAATGTCTGACTTTTAAATACAACACTTGAATCGTTGTTTAACTCAAACATCACTCAAATCCTATACTTATATCAATATTATATAAGACAATGATTACAACTAAAACTACATAAAACTACAAATGATAACCATTTTGTTGGGCAACAATTTGGGATAAATTTACTTTTTATCATCACTTATTCAGCGCAATGGAGAGTAAATAGGGTTAACCCCAGCCCTAACTTGTATAGTGTTATAGCCATAGTGTCGACCCCTTAAACAATCAAAAGTGATAATGAATGAGGAAATATACAGCAGTTTTAATACACAGCATATGATAACTGTATGGCAAAGCAGATATAAGGAGAGAGAGAGAGAGAGCCGACAATAATTCACACCCAAATATGCCATAACTCTCAACACTAATTGATTTCGTAAAACTATCTCTCATTTTACAGAAAGTGTTCAAATTGTTTACAAAACAAAGTAATCACTTCTCATTCATCGCATACTATAATCCCCTTTAAAACAAAAGTAATATTCAATGAAACCTAAGATTGAGTTAATGTCTCGTTAAATAAAATCGCTAAAAGGCAAAGGAATGTGCTTTAAAAACCATCTCATGTTAATTACTCTCTTAATTAATGATTACTTCAAATGCACTGAAAATTATTATGTAATTAAAGATAATTATGAGAAAATATAGCAAACAAATGGTTTGTTCACAGTTTTTGCATTACATTTATTTGAGAGGAAAACAGCAAAAATATTTGGCCATAAAAAACATTTGATTACCATATTTACTCTGTTATTTCACCATTACTTATATTACTAACACACTTCTGTATGGAGTTGCTAGAGAACGTCTAGTAACTGCATGACCGCGAGGCAAAGCTGCTAAAGTTGCTAGTGAGTCTCGATATGACTTAAGTTTGTGTCCAAATATTTGGGAAGCGATGGAGGGGTGATGTGTAGTGTCTGGCGATCGGGTGGTTGAGTGTCGGCGACGGTTGTGGCCGACAAAGAGCCGCAACCGTTAACTTTGGCTCTAATCATACGAATGATGCCAAGAGAGTCGTCGTCGGTGTCGTCCGCGTCGTCTAAGCTCTCAATACTCGCCAAATAAGACTTCTTCGTGTCGGCCATACCTGACATATCAGAGCACATCACATGAGACAATGAGTGGTGCATCGGATCCATGGGATGGCAAACCAATACTGACCGAGACTTCCATTTCTGGTGAGCGAAGAGCACGAAGAGGTGGACGAAGAGGAGACCGAACTGATACTCAGCGGACGCTTCTTATTGTTGGACACATCGGATGCCATACTTCAGGACAAACACACGATTGGATGCATGTATTGGTCACTCATTGATATCACATTACAAATCAATTGAAGAGACCATCACTTGATGTATGGATGGAAAGGCATTACAAATACATTACAAATACTAACAAATGGTTTAATGAGTGAATTGTTTGGAAACCATTGAACTCTAAACTACTATTCACTCAATCAATGTTTACTGTATATCCAGTATTGCAGTCACTGTTGTATTCGTTCACATCATTGATGGCATAACACTGTTGTCGGCCATTGAGTCCAAAGCACTCACT